GTAACACGAGTAACATCAGTAACACGGGTAACACTGGTAACACAAGTAACACCAGTAACACTAGTAACACTGGTAATGTATCGTCAAAGCCTTAAAGAACTGACTCAACACGTTACCTAGAGACAAAAAACGAAGTGCCGAAAGCTAGCATAACAACCGAAGTTTTTATGGGGACCGCACAATTCCATCATAACTCGACATTTAGTATAAATCTTGGAAAGTTACCAAAATTTGGTTTTATTTATTGCAGTATAAAACGTTGGAAACACAAGGATAAACTTTCTTGCTTTTTTCGCAGCAAAATTGCAGCTCAAGGCTAAGTACCATAGTAACATACCTTGAGATAGTCTTGGATTTGTGCACAATCTGGTCTATCTTCGATCTCAATCCATGCCATAGCATCCGGCTTGACGTTACAACTCTCTAGTGCTGCTTTGGCCTACAATTCGATAAGGAATATGACGGCGTAGAGACCGATACTTTCGTATAGAAAGTAATGGCAAAAAATCTAATCAACTCACTTTATGACAATACGGACAGTAAGATTTGGAGAAAACAACAACTTTGTGAGATTTCAGCAATCCATCCACAAAAGACTTGGCGGACATGTCGGACCTAGGAATGTTTATGAAAAAGCGATGGGAAAGAGGCTAAAGACACAATCAACACATGGACAAGATAAGATGCGTGGAAAGATAGCAGAACTTGTAAGACGCAAGCAAATAAACAAAGACGTCAATCGAGATGCTGCGTCTGCATTGCATGTCCGCGATTTTGGATTCTCAGTTTGAACAAATGCACTAAAGCACTTCTTCCCAGCATTTATTTTCTACTTTCAGTGGCCTTGTCAATGCTCTGAATAATGTAAAATAGGAGGATCTACTCTGGTGATTTGTTTTAGGCGTGATAACGTCTCAGCTTGCAATTAAAAAGAGGCAAACTGCAACTCAAAATAACGTTGCTACAAGCAACTATCAAACCTTCGATCATTATTCAAGGATCTTGTTAGCTTTAGAAATCGGAAAGTCATCATACTAGGCGGAATGTGATGACAAAGCACCGATTGATAAGAGCCCGCGGACTCGTTATTTTGCGCTGACCCTCATCAAACAAGCATCTGATGATCAAAGAGACTACATGGGAAACACTGTGAGACGAACAGTTCGCCAGATGGCAGTCTCCTTGTATCAGTGTGCAATACGATAAACATATAATCGTGGCCAGATTCAGAGAGAGGCTGAGACGGCGGACGTCAGGCAAGAGGCAGCAAAGGGTAGCCGCTTTTGCCTCTGGAAGTGCCTGGGGAGCTCCTGAATTCCTCGCACCTCTAATCAACCTTCGCACCTTTGATAATCTTCCGTGCAAGGAGATCAAACAAATTTTCGATAAACGTTTCACTCTGAGTCATCTTGAGATCTTTGCAAATTTTTTAATCTCTGTTATCGGTTTCAGCTTACTGAAATATCAGGTTCAGAGCAGGTTTCTTCAGAACTGAATTAGTAGAAGGGAAGGAGCCTGCAGCAAAATAGGAATTGTGTTATTTGTCTTTGCATTCTTGTCTTCGATCAGAATGATTCAGATGAATCAGCCACAGAAATATGTTCAAGGTTCCGACTTGAAAACTTTATAAACCGACTTTTACTTCCAAAGCAACCCAAATCTGGTTTCTTTACCACTTTTGATGTTGGAGACTAATATATATGATTTTTTT